AGTTCATTTGTCTATGAAACACTCACAAAAAGATTTTCATAAATGTAGGATGATGACTAATTAATTACACTCCAAGCGTTAGGAATGACATCAACCAAATGATACATCAATCATCATATTTTTGCTCATATAAACTCTTGGAAACAATTATAATTTCATAGATCTTACATATTAAAAAGTATTGAATAAATTACTGAGAGTGTTGATAAATTCATTGTTCAAAATTAAAAACTTCATTCACAAACAAAACAGGCTACGAGGGTAAAGTTAACAAAAACGAAGAGATTGGTTCTATAGATTAAAGAACAAAATATATGTAAAATACATTATACATGGTATATTTATCTTAGATCAGTAATCCAAAAAGTAGTACTTCAGTGTTCTTGGAAAGGCGGTAACTTGTATACAGCCTTTGAAGACATCAAAATGATTTATTTATCAAGCAAATTCGTCGCACTATTAATTACCCGTAAATCAGCTTTACACGACAATAAAAGCTAAATTAAAGTCTTTATCATCCAGTAACAAATGTGATCTGTACTGTTCTTTATGTTTAAACGAAGCTCTATATTGTTCCCAAGGCTACATGGATCTCACCGGACCACACTACAGAGAACCAGATAGATCATATTTGCATCAATAAAAAAATTCCGAAGGACAATGGAAGATGTGAGAACCAGGAGAGGAGCTGACATAGCTTCAGATCACCACCTAGTTGTGGCCAAATTAAAACTGAAGCTAAAAAAGAACTGGACAACTGGACAAACAGCATTACAAAGGTTCAACTCAGCCATCCTACGAGATACCGACAAACTCAACGAATTCAAGATAACTCTCAACAACAGGTTACAAACCTTACATGATCCACTGAAAGAAGAAGAAGCTACCATGGAGGACAACTGCAAAGGGATAAAAGAAGCACTTACATCAACACGTCAGGAGGTGCTGGGCCGCAAGAAGCATTATCACAACGAAGTAATCTCTATCGAAACCGTGCACAAAATTCAAGAGAGGAACAACAAGAAGACAACAATTAACAACAGCCGAACAAAAACAGAGAATCTCAAGGCACAAGTTGAATACACTGAAGCGAACAAGAAAGTGAAGAAGAGTGTTAGAGCCGACAAGCAGGAATACGTGGAAGAGCTAACAAAGACAGTGGAAAAAGCTGAAACAGAAGGAAATGCGAAACACTTATATGACACAACGAAGAAACTTGCACGGAAATATTGTAAAGCAGAGTGACCAGTCAAGAGTGAAGAAGACACATCAATCACTGAGATTCAAGGACAGCGTAACAAGTGGATAGAAAACTTTGAAGTACTCTTGAATAGGTCAACCCCACTGAACCCAGCGAAAATCGAGGCACCACACACAAAAACAATTTTCTATATATGTCACTCCATCAACAACCGAAGAAATCAGTATGGCCATAGGACGAATGAAAATTGGCAAAGCAGTTGGACCTGACAATATACCAGCCGAAGATCTGAAGTCAGACATAGAAGTAACTGCAAGCATACTCCACGTTCTATTCAGGAAGGTTTGAGAGGAAGAACAAGTGACACCAACAGACTGGAGAGAACGACAACTCATCAAGATACCAGAGAAAGGAGATCTGAACAAATGTGAAAACCATATAGGCGTCACACTACTGTTAGTACCAGGAAAAGTATTCAACAGTGTTTCTGAACCGTAAGCATCGATCGTGCACAGACCAAATCGCGACACCATGGATCATTGTTGGGCAATCAACTGAATGGAACGCGTCACTATATATCAACATCTCTGACTATGAAAAAACGTTTGACAATGAGGACAGGAGAAGCTTAAGAACGTTCTTCGACACTATAGTATACATGAGAAGATTGTCAACATCATACGGGATTCGTACGGTCGACTACATTGCAAAGTTGTGCATGGAGGACAGCTGACAGATGCATTGCAAGTGAGAATCGGATTCAGACAAGATTGCTTACTCTCCACCTTCCTCTTTCCTTTGGTGGTCGACTGAATTATGAAGACCTCCACATCTGAGGGAAAACACGGAGTGCAATGGACATCTTACATGCGGCTAGACGATTTGGACTTTGTAGATGACCTGGCCCTTCTATTCCATACACACGAATACGTAGCTTTTAGAATTGGGGGCAGACATGAAAACAAATAATAACATTTAGAAACAACTGAGAAAGATAGCCCAGGACATTGGATTAGAGAATCCTGGTCAGCAGCCTATACTCCCACTAGGGGTAACAGGATTAAGTAAGTAAGTAAGCTTTTCATGTTTAATTATGAAAATAAATATGCCTATTGAACCATGATGAGAAGCTAGTTGAAAAGCTACACTCCTCAACTCAAATTATGTTTTTGGAATCCAACTTATGCTTCACCAATTACATGGCAGAAAATTAAAGTTATCCTAATAACAAAGTGCGTATCTGAGAGATCTGAATTAAGGATTTGTCTGATACCATGATTTCTAATTCCTTGAGCTCGAGGGGAAGTTGCGCTTAAAATGTTACCGAAAATGTTGTTTTAAAGTGTCTCTAGTCCCTTGATTTATCACAGCGTTTAGAACACGATGACATTTCTAGCTTTCTTCTCAAGTAGCATAATAGTATCCTGTTATCTATTTGACAATTTTTTTCGACTAGTTTTACCCAGAATACGTGAAAGAAATTTAAAGTAGTTCCAATTCGTTGAATGATCTTTTCGAATAGTCTTATACTCATTACCTATATATGTCAAAATGTTAGAATTCTGCTAGAAATGGTTGACTTTTCGCTTCTGAGATGTCAAATGTAATTTATCTTTGTGAAACTTCCTCTTCCGATCTCTCTCAATCTTCTCATGATTTGTCAGTGCCAACGAATTTTTCGTCTAAATTACTATATAAAGAGTCTACGTGTTTGGGATTATCCACTTTATGTTCTTGGGATTTGCAAACTTCATGCTAAACTTTATGCCATTACTCACTTATTTTCCTGAACATCTGATTCATGATTTTACACTGTTGCATGGAACGTTGAATGTAAAATTTATACCTTCACCTTTTCTTAAAACAATGGAAAAACTATTGCTACTTCTACTTTGGTCCGCACTAAAAGAGCACATTGACCCATACCAGTTTGCTGACAAATGCAAAAGAAGCACCTTAGATACTGTTGTTATTCTGAATCATAATATTGTGTTGAGCTTGGAAAAGAGTAAAAAGTATGTTCAATTAGTATTTCTAGACCATACTTCTGCCTTTGACTCTATTCCAAGGCAGTTACTTCTTGACATATTTATCAGTGTCAACAGACAGCTAGATAAACAACTAGCTGTGTTCCTCCCTCTCTGGAATAGAACGGTACACTGTATTTAAAAGAAAGTATTCAGAGTTTCTACTGACTTATGGTGTGCCACAAGAAATTGTTCTTTCCTCTTTTTTTGCATGATCTGCCATCTTTCACAGAAAACGCGTTTGTCAAATATGCAGCAAATCTCACTATATTTATACCGATTTCTACCTCTTCAAATCCCTCTTGAAATGTATGTGTTCTTGCCTTTTAATGACCAATGGTCTGTTGTTAATCGCCTCACACTTTAACCTGAGACATAAACAGCACTTAAACATCCTGCTGAAATCCCATAAAGATTGTATTACTAGAGGTCCTTTAATAAAAACAGTGCCAAAGGTTATTTATTTCAGTATAAGTTTTTCCTCTGATCTCTCTTGTTCTTCTCATGTTTTATCGTTTAAGAAGTTTTCCGTCTGACTTACCGTATAAACAGGCTACATGCTTTTGACATTACTCAACATTTACTTTTAAGATTTGTTAATTCATGTATATTGCCTACTATTCTTTACTTTTCTCTATTGTTTTTTTCCCGGGCTTTTGAGAAAAGACTTTGTGGAGAGTTCTGAAGGCAGTTAACAAGGTGTGTGGTGAATCTTTTACAGTCACTATTAATGCGTTTTTGGATAGACATCTAAAGTCTTGCAAACTCTTGGCAGGAGTTACCTTATCAGATACTAACCATCCACTTCATTCATATCTTTCTCCTTGTATATCTTCTGGTAGAACGAGACATCAATACAGTAGAATCCATACAACTAATCAAAAGCGTAAAAGGTGTACAATACCTTACCTAGCAAATATACTCTGTGACGAACAGATTGTTAAAGTTGACCTAGTCAATAACTTGTATTCTTAAACATGTTTCTAATCAAAAAGTTGTACAGATTCAAATCTTAAAAAAAACATTTCATTTAATTATAGGTGGTTAATTTACTTAACTTTCGCATATTTGTATACAGTTATCAGTTTCTTTCACTTTTTTTCTTTTTAGAAAAAGAAGCTTGGTAAAATATTTGTACTGAGAATCCTATATTGCACCAAAGACATAATATTGAATTAAACCATTAATAATAATGATAATATTTTTAAGGCAATCAGCGGATATTTCAACATTGTGATAATTACGGTTGTGAGAGGTCATTTGAAATCACCCACACAATGAGAGTAACAAAAGCTTTGTAATACTGTGTTTACCAAATACAGTGTAACAAAAATGGAGTAAGGGTTGACCTAACCAAAGCCCTTCGTTATTTTACAAATATGTCCACTACTATGAATATTCCAAACCGATTTGATTTAATTTTATGAATTACTTGTTGGACTCCCAACTGAGAATCCTATGCTCTTCCAAATGGTGGTAAGGTACCGAAACAATCATCATTTAGAAAAAGTTCGTGAAGTCAATCTTAACGACCACGACCAGAATATTCTCAAGGATATTTTTTCTGCAATATATGCAGACATATATCTTCGTCCTCATGACACGTCAAAACTAACCAATAGGAATTAAGAAATAACGGTAGGAAAACTAATGCTTTTTTGATTTGTTGTATTGCTTAAATTCATCAAAGGCAGTGGTATAAATAAGCCAATCCGAACCACTAATCAGTCTGATCATTCATCGTGTGTCTTTAGACGTTGTACGCGAGATTGTGCACGTGCAGTCTGGTCAGTGTGGGAACCAGATAGGCGCTAAGGTAATTAAACGTATACATTGCATATGGCTCCCTCTAACTAACTCATCAATTTGTGCCCATTTTAAATTCTCTATTTTATTTCCAGTTCTGGGAAGTAATATCGAACGAGCACGGTATTGACCCTACAGGAACATACCACGGTGATTCTGATCTACAGCTTGAACACATAAATGTTTATTTTAGTAAGGTCAGTGGAGGAAAGTATGTCTCTCGTGCTCTCTTGGCTTATCTGGAACCTGGTACGATGGAGAGTGTCCGCTCAGGGCCCTTCGGCCGATTGTTCCATCCTGACAATTTCGTATTTGGTCAAAGTGGGGCGGGAAATAACTGGGCCAAAGGTCACTATACTGAAGGTGCTGAACTTGTAGACTCAATTTTAGACGTGGTGAAAAAGGAAGCTGGGTCTTGTGATTGTCTACAAGGTTTCCAACTAACTCATTCACTTGGGGGTGGTACCGGCTCAGGTATGGGGACGCTGTTGATTTCAAAAATTCGAGAAGAATATCCTGACAGGATTATAAATACATTCTTTATAGTCCCATCACCCAAAGTAGGTACTTTCAGGCCAAGTTATGTATAGATTGTATTAAGTCGTTATTTGGTTGATTTTAACAGTTGTACATACTTTATAAATCAGTACGTAAATAGACTGCCCAAGCTAAGAGTCTCATGCTACAAAAGTAATATAACTTGTAGTGTATTGGATAGCTTTAATAAGATAAACTATCTGATGAAATACTTCAAATTTATTTTATAAATAAGTGCGAAGTCACAGCTAGCTACGTATATATTCAAGCTTGCTTAATAGTATTGGTCATGTAGTAAAATCTAGGGTAGAAGCGTAATCATAAAAAATGCAGCCACCATACTTATCACGCATTTCTAAATTGAACAATATTATGGAAACACAACTTCAACAACCGAAGTATCCTCCTAATTCATTTTTATATTGTTTGTTTGGATCTTCCCATTAATGTTTAGGATTGCAATTGATCAGTCTCTTATTGGCATATGTGCATCCTGTACGGATTGCCCCAATATTGCCTTAAGTCACAAGCATTATAAGCAAAGCACCTTTCATTGGTGAGACTTTAGTAGTGTGGTAGTTGTAGTAGTTCTCAACAGTGAGTTATTTGAGATTACCTGAAAACAAACCATTGGTTACTTTTTCCACTGTACTGTGATTTGTTCGAGAACAGGAGTGTATCATTTCTCTTTATCTTATGATAGTAGTCGTTCAGTTCATCACGTGTGGCTTCTAGAGTTTTGTTTCGGCAGAAACAATCGTAATTTCACGCGGCTACCTTCCAAGATTTACTAATTCATATTCTGAAAAATAATAATTACAGAATTCACGCCAGTTTACAGGCATGATCAATTTGATATAATTAATAACGTGCAGAAAACAAACATGTGATAAAAGAAAGTTTTAAGTATACTAGTTCAGTAGTTGTTTAAGTAGTACATATATTACAGCGATCCAAAGCATTATCCGGGAATTTTTAATATTTCTTAAATGGACAGCCTGTTGATTTATGAACGGTGTAATTAAGGTCAATTCGTGTGCCAGATCGAAATAATGATAATTATCTACAACTAGAGAAATTAAAACGAAAACAGAGAGCACGGAACAACAAAAAAGTAATTACCAAAATATATTAATCAGGTCCACCTAAATGCGTGTGTCATGTGACACAGTGATATACTGTTTGTGTTATTCAAATTAGTTAAAGTTGCTAGGGGTGGTGTTGACATATTGACAGCAAGTGGGTGGTTTTACTAAGGGGATTCACTAATAAAGATGGCTAAACATTTAAGGTTCCTAAAATATCACTTGTGGAATGAGATACACTTAAAGGCGTTAGACCATTCAATGCATTTTCAGAAGAACAGTATGCATCGATGCAGCGAACAAATAATGGGAGTGATTTTATCGTGCGGATAGGTTGTGGTAGGTTATTCCAGAGTCTAGGAAATTTACAGGTGAAGTAATTCATATAAAGAGATGATTTAGAATGAGTTTGTTTCACTAGTGCCAAGGAATTACGTATGTTATAATGAGAGGTTTCTGCATATTGAATCGCGTGATCGGATGTAAACGATAGTTTATGAAGTAGTTTGAAGAAAAAGATAAGATTTAGTTTGAGTCTCTTCCTCCATAAAGGATCTAGCCTAAGTTTATTACATCTAGAAATATAAATTAAGGTACAATCAGCTCCAAGAATATGAAGTGTAAATCGTCTCTTTACTGATTCCAGCCTTAATTTATCCTTTATGCGCGCACTGCTAAGAATAAACGTGCAGTATTCCAGAAGAGGTCGAGCACAAACTTTGTACATTAGAATACGTGACTCAGTGTTGTAAAGATTTCGAGTTATGTAACCTATTAGACGTTGAGACTTAGAGGTCTGTTTTAATATATGTTCTGTAAACGACAAGTTTTGGGAATATCTAAGTCCTACGTCTACTAATGTATGTAACTTAGATAACACTTCTCCATTTATGGTAACGTCTAGGTTGAGCGATGTATCGCCGAAGCATATCCATCCACATTTAGCCGTTTTAAGCTCCAGTTGCCATTTCAAGCACCACTGTGTTACCTTGTTAAGCTCCATGCTAATGCAATTTCGTATATTTTTCAGGTCATGTGGAGAAAATGAATATACTACTTTAAGATCATCTGCATATAGAAGGGGCTTACCGACACAAATATCATTGATAAACACTAAAAAGAGCAAAGGACCTAGGACACTACCTTGTATTACTCCACTTCTAACAGGGACAGAGTTAGACAATGAAGAGTTAATTTTAACTATTTGGTATCGATTGCTGAGAAAGGAATCAAGCCAAGCAAGCAAAGGATTTTGAACCCCATAAGATGCGAGCTTACCTATAAGAAGTTGGTGGCTAACCATGTCAAAGGCTTTAGAAATGTCCAGATATAGCACTAAGACTAGATAACCCTGGCTACGTAGAGAATAAACTAAATTAAAGAAGTCAAATGACATGTCATGCAAGAACGATTTTTAAGAAATCCATGTTGAGTACCATTGATAAATTTTCCAGCAAGTAAATAGTTGGATATAATCATGACATCAGTCTAGAGAACTGTATGTATCGTGTAGTGTAAGTTATTATTTTAAGCCCATATGCCTTATCCTTGTTTTCGGACAAACCAATCTATTCATTCTACTTGAGTCATATGTTGACCTTGTTAGTTATTCGCTTACCAGTCTTCATTGTTTTTATATGAGCGCACATATGTGTACATTTCCCATCCCATTCATCACATGTCTGCGGCTTATTTTTGTCTGCCCATAAATATTGATTAACGCCTGACTAAAAGTGAGTTGGCTTACCAGCCATCTCCATTCTGCGTCGCTTCTGTTCCATTCATCTCATATACAAAATATATGTATCCAAAATCCCATTCTCGTTATTTGACTTATTTAATTCCGTTATTGGCTAACGTGATTTAAGTCGACGATTATATACGAGAATAGGCGATAACAAACATTCGTACGATCTAAAATGGAGTCTGATCAACGGGCCACTAAAATTGGGATAAATAAGATGGGAAATAACTTCACCTTGTTTCATTTTTTCTAGGTCTCCGATGCTGTTGTCGAGCCATACAATGCTACACTGTCTGTACATCAACTTGTTGAGAACACTGATGAAACGTTCTGCATCGACAACGAAGCACTCTATGACATCTGTTTCAGAACACTCAAGTTAACCAACCCCACTTATGGAGATCTCAATCACTTGGTCAGTGCAACCATGTCTGGAGTGACCACCTGTCTCAGATTTCCTGGACAACTGAATGCTGACCTGCGGAAACTGGCAGTGAATATGGTCCCGTTCCCTCGACTGCATTTCTTCATGCCAGGATTCGCTCCACTGACAAGTCGTGGCAGTCAACAGTATCGCTCATTAACTGTGCCTGAACTGACACAACAAATGTTCGATGCAAAGAATATGATGGCTGCCTGTGATCCTCGTCATGGTCGTTACTTGACAGTGGCGGCGATTTTCCGTGGTCGTATGTCTATGAAGGAGGTGGATGAGCAGATGTTGAATGTGCAGAATAAGAATTCGAGTTATTTTGTCGAGTGGATTCCGAATAATGTGAAGACGGCAGTATGTGACATTCCTCCTCGTGGTTTGAAGATGTCGGTGACTTTTATTGGTAACAGTACGGCTATTCAAGAGTTGTTTAAGCGTGTTTCTGAACAGTTTACTGCAATGTTCCGTCGTAAAGCGTTTTTACATTGGTATACAGGTGAAGGGATGGATGAGATGGAATTTACTGAGGCTGAATCAAATATGAATGATTTGGTAAGTGAATATCAGCAGTGTCAAGATGCCACTGCCAACGATGAAGAAAATGTTTAAGGAAGCCTAAATTGTATCTCGCTCCTCATATGTTTCTTTGCGCATTTTCATTTTTCTTAATACAGTAATTAAATTAGATTTAATGTTTCCACTTTCAATTCCTGTAATTTATTGGAGTTCTTTGCGTACATTCAGCGTTTTTTTGTGCTGGGCGTCGAGATGACTAGAAGCTGGATGACAGTAACACCCTTGATTTATTTTGGTTTACTTTCATATTATCTAATAGCTGAAAGTTCTGATGCACTAAGTTAGTTGGATTTTAACAAACGAATGTTTAACGATGCAAAATAAAGATAAATACAAAGACGTACTAGCCCATAGTTGCATATCCAATAACTTTTCCCAGCCTGTTTATTTGGGCAGGGGTGGGTAACCGTCATTCTTTTGCATGCTCATACGAACCCTGGTTAGCTGTATGTTTGCTTACTAAGATCTTGTCGGATTGCTATTTTGCCTGCTGGTTCTTGTATCAGTATTTCGCCAAGTTTCTTATATTTTTTTGACTGGGTAGTTTGAGCACTCCGTTTCCTGGCTATTGTCCTACGGATATTTTGTGTAATTGAACTTTGGAAGATCCACACCCAGACTTTTACCGTTCTGGAAGATTCAGTTTGGACATAACCGTTTACTTATCCATGGTTTCTTGTTTTCTGTATTAGGTTGTAGGTTTTCGAATTGATTGATAACTTTTAATATTTCTCTTATTGTTCCTTCATCTTCTGAATATCCGTTATTTTGAGGGCCTGACATATTCGACGTTTCCCCAGACGTTTAACCGACTAAAAGCTTCAACTGACTCATGATTTCAATCTGTGAAATTTCTAAAATCTCCACAAAACCCATTCTGATAATAATAATCAACTGCTCACTAGTGACTGACTTCAGGAAAAACTCCCGAAGTTCTAGTGAGAAGCCGTTACCAGTGGAGTTCAACCAAGTCTGTTGTGAGATAGGAACTCACTGAAGACAATGGTGTACGGTGGCGCAACTTCGTGGATTGGTTGAAGTTAGACATTAACACCGTTGGATGCCGGCTCAGTGGTCTAATGGTTAAGTGCTCGCGCGCGAAGCCAGAAGGTCCTGGGTTCGAGCCCCGCGTGGTGCGGGACCGTGGATGCGCACTGCTGAGGAGTCCCATACCAGGACGAAACGGCCGTCCAGTGCTTACAGGTTTTCAATGGTGGTCTAGCTTCAACTGACTCATGATTTCAATCTGTGAAATTTCTAAAATCTCCACAAAACCCATTCTGATAATAAAAGTAGACCGTTTGATTGTCCGAAACAATAGATGGAGATCTTTGTAGTATGATGTTACGATAGCTGCTTGTTCAACGTTCCTATGAAGTGGCCCATTAAAGTTTGTGTAAACTCCGAAGGTTCTGTTCATGTGATACGTACTCCCCATACAGACAGATGTATGTACTAAGAACTCGGGGTAGGATTCTTTTTGACAGGAAAACATAAAAGAAAAGACAAAAGCAATGCGAGTAGCAACAGCAACTGAAGAACGACTAGGCTTGTAAGATACAACTCAAGGAAGATGGTCAAATGATTTATTCAGTGTATTGTCGTCATATCTTACAGATGCGGTGTGTGGTTTTACTTAATATAGTATGTTGATTTACTCTACCTGAGTCTTTGTTCATTACACTAGTACTGGCCATATCTGTAGCTTTGCTTTTATGGATGATTTCGGTAACTTCTCTTCACAATATCCTCAATATTTGGGCAATGTAAGCTTCCACAGGCGATTAATTTCAGCACTAGGACATGAGAAATGCACCTATACTTGTTTCGAAAATCAGAGTCCAGTACAGTAATTAACCATTTTTCGAGACGACTAGCTGCACAAACTGGAAAGCTTTTCTTAAATCCTAAAATTAACAAATAGGCTTATGGCCAGGAAGTAGTGTAAACAGTTGGAACTTGTTAGTCGCCAAAAATCAGGAGACTTCAATTCTTTTGAAATTGCATTCAGAGCGTGTAGGTGTCCGTGTTGCGTAACAGACCACTTCTTCACAATCATCGAGAAAAACATGAAGTGGCTGCCCTGATACTACGGTTTGATTTATTAACATCCACAGGAATTTCCAGCTATGAGTTTCCTAATGGTATACTCAAAAGATATGTATGAATATCAATAAAGAGGTCTGATCCTACAATTTGTTTGTTTTTTTCATCACAGTTGGTACGTAAGAACATAGACATTCTGTGGTGCGATACTTATATCGGCATAAGTAGTATACAAAGGGATATGGATATACATAGAAGTTATACGACTATATATATACAAAACCAAATGGAATGATTATCCAACACATGTATAGACATAGAGAGTTCATAGTTCATCCGGGGACCCTGTGGCATCTTCGTCTGGTCTTGCAGGCGTTGGTGCCGCACTAAGCGCTCGAGCTGAGGCAGCACTAGTCGATTGGATCCCCATTAACAGTCGGTTATGTGCTGTTAGATTAGAGAGTTCCATCAAAGTGAGAAGAAATCGGCGTGAGAAACGATGTCTTCTCGTCATCTCCGCCTATGCCCCGACAGATTGCAGCCCGGATGCAATCAAGGATGAGTTTTACCACCAGTTATCTGTTCTTCTCCAGAAAAAGCGTTCGACAGATATTGTAGTACTAGCCGGAGACTTGAATGCTCAGGTCGGGCGTCTAGGCACAGAAGAGAGTTGCTTAGGTGGCCGATGGGGACTCGTTGGTCGCAGGTCAGATAACGGAGACCGTCTACTGCAACTTTGCACAGACCACAACATGTTTCTGGCTAGCACTAACTTTCGGCACAGTCATCGCCGATGTGCCACCTGGCGTCCTCCCTCTGCATCTCAAGCCTGGACTCAGATTGATCACATCGCGATCAGCTACCGCTGGCATGGTTGTGTACAAGACTGCCGCTCCTTTTGGAGTACCTATCTGGACTCTGACCATGCCATGGTCTGCGCCAATCTCGCCTTACTTTTCAGTGGACAACGAAGTGACCACCATCAACGGATTGATATTAGCAAGCTGGTTGCAACTTCTGTTGCAAGTAAGTATCAAACCGAGGTAGCCTCTAGGCTAGCTACCACTCCACCGAAAAGTATAGATGAGCATTGGTTGCAATTGCATGACACCATGAAAATGGCGGGAACAGTCAGTTGTGGGTTTGCGAAACGTCCCGCTTTTAAGCACTGGGTTTCCGCAGGTTCCTTACAACTCATTGAAGCCCGTCGGTCTACTCCGGGTGACCGTGAGTTTGACCATAAACGAAGGATGTTAGGTAAGGAAATTGTGCAAAGCTTGCGTAAGGACCGACAAGCCTGGTGGTCGGAGTATGCTGATGAGCTGGAAGCAGCAACTGCGTCTGGTAACTACCGGAAGTTCTTCCAACTCATCCGAGCCACTGGCAGCAAGAAGTCTGGTGTGAGCGAAACAATCTACGAGGATGATGGGATGCCAATCACTAACATCCATCAACGTCTTGGACGATGGGCAGAATTTTTCGAAGGGCAGTTCAACTGGCCTGCTGCTCCGGCAACATCGGTCAGACTGTCCTGCCCTCCATGGCCGGTGACGACTGATCCACAAAACGAGGAGGAAGTCCACAAGGAACTCCAACTCTTGAAGCGTTACAAATCACCTGGCCCATATGACTTACCTCCGGCTCTTTTTAAAGGTGGTGGTGACTTTTTGACTAAGGAATTGACGACGTTGTTTACAAAGGTTTGGGAACTAGAGAGTGTACCAACGTCATGGAATGAGTCGATAGTTGTCCCTATCTTTAAAAAGGGTTCACGTCGTTCCTGTAACAACTATCGGGGGATAAGTCTACTTCCGATTGCGTCCAAGCTATTGGCTTCCATCATACTTCGTAGGTTGTTCAAAACCCGAGAAAGATTGACTCGCGAGGAGCAGGCTGGGTTTCGTTCTGGTCGAGGATGTATTGATCATATCTTCACCCTCCGTCAAATGTTAGAACATCGCCATACTTATCAAAGGCCAACAATCGTAGTGTTTCTTGACATCAGGGCTGCCTTCGATTCCTTGGACAGAACTGTTCTCTGGGATTGTCTATTGAAGAAGGGTGTGCCTGAGAAGTTTATTAACATCCTAAAAGCCCTATATAAAAACACCTCAGGCAGAGTGAGGGCATACAACCACCTTTCTCCATTGTTCCATTCGAGTAGTGGGGTTAGGCAGGGTTGCCCAATCTCACCATTCCTCTTCAACTTTGCCATCGATGACATTCTGGAAACAGCTCTGATGAATGTAAGTAATGATGGTGTGGATCTGTTGCCTGGAGAAAGACTTCTCGACCTTGAGTATGCGGACGATATTGTCTTACTGTGCGATAATGCCCAAGGCATGCAATCCGCACTTAATCAGTTGGCAATCAGTGTCCGTAGGTATGGTATGTGCTTTGCATCTTCGAAGTGCAAAGTACTCCTACAAGACTGGCAGGATTCCAATCCTGTACTCGCCCGGGATGGTGGGCAGATAGACGTAGTCGAGATGTTCGTGTATCTGGGTAGCTGCATAAGTGCTGGTGGTAGTGTGGGTGATGAGATAAATGCACGTATAGTGAAAGCCAGAGCGGCTTATGCCAATCTGGGCCACCTCTGGCGCCTTTGTGATGTTAGTCTGGCTGTAAAAGGTCGAATCTACAACGCGTCGGTGAAAGCAGTTTTGCTCTATGCTTGCGAAACCTGGCCTCTCCGAGTTGAGGACGTTAGACGACTCTCTATGTTCGATCATCGTTGTCTCCGAAGGATTGCTGACATTCAGTGGCAACACCATGTCAGTAATGCAGAGGTTCGGCATCGTGTGTTCGGGCACAGAGATGATAATGCAATTGGTGTCACCATCTTGAAACACCGACTTCGGTGGCTTGGACATGTTCTCCGAATGTCGTCCCAGAGAATTCCACGTCGTGCATTATTTGCCGACTCTGGGACTGGTTGGAAGAAGCGGAGAGGTGGTCAGTGCATGATATGGTGTCGTGGCATGAAAGAAAGCTGCAAAGGACTGGCTTGTGTTGGTCCTTCACGACTCCCTGGTTGGGGTCTGAGAGATGGTGCTACACAGTGGCTAGAGACGTTATCAGATATGGCTCAGAATAGAAGCCAGTGGCGATCCTGCTGTAACCTTCTTTTACTTTCTTCATAAAAAGTGGTTCTGTCTCCCTTACCTGAAAGATTTCTTCCGATTGTACCTTTGCGTTCCCTGATTACTAGCACATTACCTTACACCAATCTCTTCGTTATTGTTCTCTCTTTTTTTTGTTGCGCTCCTTAGCTTTTTTTTCTTTCTTTGTATTCCTCTCGAATTTTCATTGTTTTGTGTGGCGCATATATATTGGCGCTCTCTTGTACCAATATTCATGTGTCCAAATAAATAAAAAATCAACACATGTATATGAAATACTTATTCTCGATATCTTAATGAATAATTCAGATTAACACAATATTTAGTTAATTGAAACCTGGTCAATTTATCAAACGGCTATATGGCAAAAGGCTTTTTACCACAAACAAATAAAATGTTACAAATTTCAAGTGTCCGGTCAAGGTCACTTAGACTTGAAATATCTAAGTATTTACCGTCCTTATCAAATACATAGCACACGTCTGTGGTCGACGTAATTCTCACTTTTTCAAATGCCAAAAGAGTGAAACTTGCTGCTTCCTAGATCACTGATGCCGTGGAACATTTTAAATTCAGAGATTTCAGAACACGATTAGTTGTGTTACACCTTAAATTTCGACGAAGTATAAAAAGACAAACTGATAAAACTATTCAGAAGTAAAACAAACTGCAAACCTCTGCATTGCGTTTTGCATATCCTACTTGTGATTGGGAAGTAATGAGAAATGAGTAAAATTGTAATAAAATGGTGAGCGTCTGAGATGTATACGTGATTCACCAAGATCGTTTATGGTGTAACTAATTTGGCAACCAAATGCCAGTGATGTTGAACCAACAGTACATTATCTTGAAACTAATTTCTAAAATATATCAGGGATTCCTTCGTTTTCTAGAGAAGTATTCCCTTAGAAAGCGTTAGGAATTCTGTGGTTATTGATAAAACACAAATTTATTATTAAGCAACGATGAAATATCTTGATTTTCCATCAAGAAGCTGACATTACTCATGATGATATTGACCTGCTTCCGTCGAGTTACACCTCAGGTGTTGAAAAACAGAAACAGAGACTTTCTTCACATAAAAACTGAAACTCAGTAATTAATGGGAATGCATGTGAAAAAATCTTAGTTTAAAAACTAGGTGTTTACTGTACTAGAAGTTAATATAATTAATTCACGTCACTAACAACTAGTGTGACACTTAAAGTACAAACGTAGTTAAACAAAATTCAGAGAACTGCAACATAGCTTATTGACATTCCAACACAACATTAACAAAGAACCAGGTGTTAGGAGAAAGAATGAAAGTATCCAAGTAAAATGATAGTTGCGAAAGGAAATCTCAAAATTGATATTAATGATTCAGACGACTTAAACGTTTTGATAATCACTTGGAATTAATCATACAGAAAAAATAATTTACGTAAATTTTTAGCGAGTTTAAATTATAAATAAATCCAAAGTAAGATATAATAGTCAAAAACATTATGCTTAGAACGCATTTTAAGCGTGGAATAGTTTTCCAACAAAACATCATATTCATGTCATAAAATATTGATATAAGAGTCAATTTTGGTACGATGACGTTGAGAAACGCATTCCGCAATCCAAACAATGTTTCTCATTTCTTGTTCCTTTAATTTAAGAAGGGCATAGAATATACCATAATGAAACTGCTGTAAGAAGGCGTCTACATTCAATTGGACCTAAAATGGATTAGTTAGTTAGGAAATTTTGTTACTAAACAAATTAGTAAACAGAAAAAAAGTAAACTTTAAGTTTGTAAAGTCGTGTGAAAGTTTGTTGGTTTGATCATTTAGCCAGATCAGCTGCATAAAATAGTACAAAGGTTTTTGTCAATTTAGTTGTCCTTTACCACAACTTGAGGTGCCATTAATGGACTCATACACAAACGTCACATCCAATTTTGTTTCCATCTGTTAGAATGAAAATCCTAGACCATGTTGATGACACTGAACATTTTCCGATAATCCAATTGGTTGATGAGTAACCTCTCTCTCTATATATATATTATTATTATTATTATTATTATTATTATTATTATTATTATTATTATTATTATTATTATTATTATTATTATTATTATTATTGTCCACGTATGACTTGGTCTTACAGCTTTGGAGGATGGGAATTGTCATTAACGTTTTCCTCACAAGACAATGCTTGCTGTGAAAAATAAAACCAATAGCACACTAGATGATTATTCTGTAATTTTCCCCATAAAAGATATACTGCTTCGATTTCTTTTATTTAACTTTTTTGAAATGATAATTAATACACAATATTATTTCCTTTGGCGGCATCAAAAATGTACTGAATAAATTTCAATTCTAAAGCATAGACCTCTTTTAGCTATGAAATACAAACACAAGAAGGATGTTACATACGTCTACTAGAATATTTCCGCGAGTGAATTTCTTGTAGTTATTTTCGAGATTAATTGGTGATTGTGCTTCGGTGCTTGGAGCGTTTAAAGGAACAGCCTACTGTAGGTAAACAAAACATACCCATCTATTTTTAGTTGCGCAGCTGAAGTTCTACATTCTGATTTATGAATTATTTAAAACAGCTGAGATAATAACGAATTGTGAATACAAAATGGTAACTAATTTTCTACTATTTCGATATATGTCTTCTGAATTATCGTTCATGCACAGTTAATATGAGAAACATACAATTATGGGGGTAATTACATGTAACCTCAGTCCCATAAATGAACCTGTTTAGATATGTGAATATTCTAGAGTGGAAAATTAGGGGACACAACTCAGTTTATTCCTTCTTGCTATACAGACTAAAATATGCCTAAGCTAAATAAACTGCGAGAAGGAAACAAGGAAAACCGATATAAATGAACATAACTTACTTCATATTCAAAGAATTTATCTTCTAATGTCTTATCTCCAAAGCCCTCGCCAGTTTCTTCAAACAAGGAGGAATAGTTCTGAAAAACAAGCACAAGTGAAAACGTCGCTCATAAAAGTTCAGTGGAAAAATTGTTATGAAATAAAAGATACTACTGAGGCAACAAGTGATGATAGTAAAATAATTTTATATCATTGGATGTATTTGAAGACACGCATTCAAGAGCTTTGTATAACCGTGTAATTATCTGAATGCTGGTTTTGGCATAGCAGCAAATGAAATCAATTTCGGTATGATGAGAGCCAGATAGGCTAATATTACCTTTTTAGGCCGTCGCGAATTCAATCTGGTCGAAAAAGCAGGATGTACCATATGTTGGTTAGTCCTACTTTACGCTTTTGGGAGATGGTGACGATCTTTACGTTCAACCATAGTAGATGCTTTAGAACCGCTCGTATCATGTGAGTAATCCCAGAGTCTGACTATTTATTTATAAGTAGTTGAGTTGGTAGTTTGATAAACGTTGCCATCTCGAAGCATTCGATTCAGTGGTTTGTTTACGCTTAACATGTGTCGTCCCATAGATTTCCACATCATGTGTTAACCCGAAATCGATCATAGTGGTATACTCATTAGCTACCTCTAAATCATGAGCTGTGTCATGTCATACTTTTCATTGTTTGTTATTTTAGGCCTACCATTGTAATATGTGGTACTGTTTTCCCTGTTTATTATCTCATTAGCTTTTTTCATTGAAGTGCCGATCCAGGGTGCAGCAACTTGGATGGATACATATTCGTGCTAGGTCCTACTTTCTCTATGGTTAGGAGGCTTATGGTTCGATATGATGGGAAGAAAAGTCAAAATTCAATTGATTTACTTATTATGAGTTTTGTTCAACATTATTTCCGTTTTGATTCAATGTGATGATTATTAAATGTAATATTTGCTTTCGTTTCTCGTATGATATTTTATTCTGTATAATATATGATATTTTTGTATTCCATTGACACGAACTATGATCAGTCTGTGATTTAGTTATAACTGTATTTTTCATATATGCGCCTTCATCCTAATTATGAATCAAAATGGGTGTACATTCAATACATAAATGTGTTTTTCGACTAAGGTCATCGTCGTCGTGTTTGGGCGGTTAATAAAGCTTCATTTATCCCAGTCTTTGTGTTCTTACTTTCGCGTCGTGGGGATTGCAGAGGTCCCTTCGTTCGGAGTATAAGTGATAAGCGTTTCCGACATACCAAATAGCGACGACCAGATATAAAAAGTAGCATTAAAAGAACCAAAACAATTAGCATTCAAACGACAAAACAAACAGCATTCAACTGACAAGTTATAACATGGTTAAATTGAACAGAAGTGATGTTTAGTTTGTGACAGTAAAGACGTGAGATGAAGGGTAGGTTTGTAGCGTACAAGTAAGAACATGTTATAATGATTGACTATAAAACGAGTCTAAACAATTAATATCATGAAATATAAATACTTTTGAAGGATAAAATTAAGCATAATAACTAGTTAGTGCATGTTCTATAATAAAAAGCTTTGATCATGATTTGTTGAAAACTCGAGATGTGACCTTTCCTGTATTATATGAGAACGAGTAAGGTTATCATAATTAGATTCTTGGAAAGTAATTCCGACTAAAAAATCTTAAACAGCCGCTATAAAGTTTAAATCACGCATGATGTCATGATTTAAGGAACTGATGAATACTGTATTTCACATTGATATTTTTGGATTCAAGGGACACTCGTAGAAGTTATCTATCCTTTTATAATCCAACGTAATCTTTTGGTATATCAGCCGCCAAATACTAAGTTATAACTATTCACTTCCCTTGAAACCAATCTCTGCCCATTTGGAGCACTCGCAGTTAGCATGTTCAAATATCCAGTGCTGACCATTTGAAAGTTGTATAATACACTTGAATTCTATACAGGTACTGGAAGTCAGTACACATAAGTTGTTAAGAACCATGTACCTTGATGAACATAGTCCAACAATTTAGTCAACTAATAGTTGTGAAAGAGATTTGTAACCAGACCCTGTTATAACTCACAAAACTCAGCACAAGCTCAGTGCTGTGATATTTTAAACCAATCCCTTTTCTACTTTGAAGTGATAACTGAGTTCGTTCGTCTTGACGACAACAATATCTACAAAGTGAACCAAAAGTACTTATTACCTTGAAGTTTCAACAAGACAGAAATGACCAATATCCTACAATTTATTCCCAGTTCCGAAATCGTACCAACTGCTTAGAAAAATCCATAACTATACCTACTAGCAAAATTTGTATTAACAACTAAATCCAGGAAATAAAATTTCAAAAAATATCTTGACGGCTTTATGGTTTATTACGTGAATGAGACATTAACGCCCACTAATCGGAATTTCAGCTCCAACCGTTGCCGCTACCTTGACGTGGTGGTCGGGCTTGCCTATCGTGATGAATCAATCGAGCAGTACTGGCTGGAACATTCTTCCTCAAAGTCCTACCATGCCAGACAGGTCGGTAAGATTAAAAGTAGCAAACCCAGGGTCCGAGGGCGAAGTCGTACTACTGAATGTACAGAGGTGTGACGGCAGTAAGGTGTTTCCTTCAGACAACCAGCATGAGAGCGATACTGCCTTCTCGCAAGGGGGGTTGGAGTTAGAAAAGGTCGACCATAGAAACACACACCTCGCCTTATCCCACGGATTTCCGTCTCCGGCGGTAAGGTCCCAACAAGCAGGGAGCTAACACGAAAATTATTCACAAAAAGGTCGTGTGTGACCGACCTCAAGAAGTTCTTCATTAGGCACTGAGGATACGCTCTCAGGTCACTAAGACCACCTCTAACCCGACTTCCGTTTCAGGCACCTCTAGAAGAACCCTTCCACGGTGTGGACAACAGGGAAGTAATAACCGCCCTCACACCTCTAACAGCACTCAAGATCACTGTATTCATAATCAATCTCCCTCTTCAATTAATATTATTCCTCCTACCCAGACTTTCAACTCTAAACTTCCTCCTCAAGTGTCACCACGGCCAAAGATTCTAGTAAGCGAAACACTTTCCCAGGTCTCAGTCAGTCAGTCAGCTACAACGTAGGACCAGGCACATATGTGCATCGGTCCAGGTCGCCATACCGCACCAGCACAACGAGATGAACACCGGATTCATAGCAGTGGTTAGGTCAAAGGTGGTAATATATAAGAGAAAGATTGCATATAGAGATATACTACAAGAAGAAAGAATTGGTTCGTAGAAAGAAAGATATGAAGTGATTTTAATCTCTTAGTTTAAGGGAAGACAGGGAGTGTATACACCAACGCCATTGTGATCGATTCTGAGCCATGTCACCAAGAGTCTCCAACCATTGGTTACGAAAGTCACACGGACCCCAACCAAGTAGTCTGCATCTACCAACATGGCTCAGACTAGAAGTTAGTGTCTTCAAGCACTGATGCCACGTTTTGGTTTGGCCGCCCCTAACTTTCTTCCAACCATCTCCAATACCGGATAGCATTGCACGTCGTGGTAGTCGGTGTTCAGGCATACGTAACACGTGGCCCAACCATCTCAGTCGATGAAGATTCATAACCTCATCAACTGATTTACCATCATTCCCTAATACCCTGCGTCTAACCTCACTATTACTTACCTGGTGATCCCAGCAATATTTCTAAGGCATCTGTGATCAAATGCTAGTAGCTTACGAGTGTCTTCTACTCTTAATGGCCATGTTTCGCTGCCGTAAAGTAAGACAGAACGGACTGCCGCGCAGTATACTCGTCCTTTTATTGATATACGGATATCTCGCCTTCGCCATAGGTGACGCATGTTGGCAAAAGCCAATCGAGCTTTTCGAATCAGTGCTGAGATTTCGTCCGATACCAACCCATTAGGGCTGATCAGACTTCCAAGATAAGTGAAGTTGTCAACGCGTCCGACTACTTCACTCCCTATCCTTAGTTCATGTGTTAACGCAGACCAGTCCTGAAGCAACAACTTGCGTTTAGAGGGAGAGAAGCGCATTCCAAACATTCTGGCATTGTTGCTTAGTGCTACCAAAAGGTCTACTGAAACCACGCTCCAAACTACACATCAGAACCCTCAACTTACGCACCCAATGTCAAATCGGCCAACAGGCCTCCTTGGCTAAAATCCCAGAATCTCGTACCACTGATGTATGCTGTGTCTCCGAAACACATACACATGATCCTAGCGTGGTCATTCACTTGACCTCACCACGACAAAACGGAGAGCCGACGAGATACACCATTCTTTCATTTGGCGACCAGATGACTAGTTCTTGTAGACTGGCGGGTGTCTACATAGTTCTCGAAAGGATAGGGACACATGTCGTTATCTTTTCGTCGTTTCTGCCTACACTCCCAGACTGAAGTTCAGATTAGGCGAAAGATGACTTTTACAGAAAGGTTTTTGAACTTCTTCAAAAAGCTAAACGCTAAGACATAGTACTAGTATCAGGTAACTTTAATGCCCAAGTAGCTAGCTTAAACCATACAGTGAGACATTTAAGTGGGTATTTTAGTATTCCGGCTCAACGAACAGATAATGGTGACCGTCTGTTGCATCTGTGCTTAGACAATCGTTCATTTTTACCAAGCACTAATTTCAAGCATAAGGCGAGACACTGTCTAACATGACGGCGACCCCTTGCACCAAAATAACGATGGACTCAAACAGACCATATTGTCATCAGTGATCGTTAGAAGCTAGAGAGAAGACTCCCGCTTGTTCTGGAGTACATGTTTACGATGTGATCATGCTCTAACACGAACACGAACTTGCTTGCACCCTAATGGACGCAGAAAAGCCACATTAGGATCAATAAGAGTTGAAAAAGCCAAACGTAAATTCCAGGAACAAATAAAGTCATACATAGCCTGCACTCCATCTCGAAATGCTCTCAAGAGGCCACGTGCATACAAACACTGGCAGGGAAGTCCTACTCACTGCCTTTTCGTAGCGGGGGTGTTGTGTACGAAATCGAGAAGACGAAAAGCGAATGTCACGCGTTTGAACCAGGTCGGTGGATACGGAGGAT